CGTGTGTATGTGTGTGTGTGTGTGTGTATGTGTGTGGGCGTGGGTGTTTGCGTGTGTGTGTGTCTGTGTGTGTCTGTTTGTGTGTGTGTGGGGGGGATGTTTGTGTGTGTGTGTGTGTGTGTGTGCGTGTGTGTGTGTGCGTGTGTGTGCGTGTGTGTGTGTGTGCGTGTGTGTTTGTGTGTGTGAGTGTGTGTAATGCAATTAAAGTTAGTTTGTTTGTGGGTGAGTGTGCATGTGTGAAAGCACATGTTTATGTAAGTGAATTTGTTTGTTTGTGTATAAGTGTGTTTTGTTTTTTCTCTATGTTTACGTTGGTGTATGTGCTTGCGTGAGTTAGTTTTCGTGTGTGCCAGTGCGTGTGTATATTCACTGTCTATATATTATGAGTACGTGCATGTGTGTATGTGCTTTTCTCTCTCTCTCTCTCTCTCTCTCTCTCTCTCTCTCTCTCTCTCTCTCTCTCTCTCTCTCTCTCTCTTAAGACCATTCCCAAAGGGGGGATATTAACATCTTCTTAAGCACAGTAGGATTGTAAAGGGGCTGATTTATCAATGCCATACTCATACTGTGCTAGAATAACATAAGGGGAATTGCTGCTTTTTCTTTCCTCAACCTTACTACTGTCATTTTTTCTCTACTTCTTTTGTATGTTTGTCACTCTGTTGTGAACTGCTATTTCCAGGGTGCCTTGATAGTCGAAGCACACCTTGTGCTGTTGAGGCTAGAGAGGTGAGCAGAGTAAGTCTGATTCCCTGTAAAGATTTCTCCGTTGACATCCTCCCCTTGGCGCTCATTTGACCATGCAGTGGCGAGCGTCGTAAAAACTTACTAATAAATAAAACATTATGAAAAATATATAGCGCAGTGGAGATGGGTAATGGCTGTTTGTACGGGTGGTTGTCTTATACTGGTGGCCGTTAGTGCAGGATTAACTGTCGACATTCTTTTGAAAGGGAAAGGCAAGACAGAACAACACAACAACAGACAGACAAACAGACAGACAGACAGACAGACAGACATGGAATCAAAACTCCCAGTTTAGGCTACAGTGTGCGGACAATCACAATGCTATAATTTCCCCCAAGCGTACCTTGACATCCCCCCTCCCCACTCCCACCCTCAAATCTGTGCTGTATACCCCACATGCCCCCCCTCCCCCAAACCTGAACACA